GAGGCACGGCGTCCGCTTGCCCCACGCCACCGCCACCGTTGTTCCAGCCGCCACCGTTGTTCCAGCCGCCGCCGTTGTTCCAGCCGCCGCCATTGTTCCAGCCGCCGCCATTGTTCCAGCCGCCGCCGCCGCCGTTCCACTTGCCACCTCCGTTGATGGTCCAGCCACCACCGCCATTCCACTTGCCGCCACCGTTCTTGTCGTCACAGTCACCGGGCTTGATGAACGTCATGGCATCGGCCGGAGCTTCTTGAGCAGCGAATGCGACAGCCGCAAGGGCGAGAAAGCCTTGAATGTATACTGCGACCATGGAAGCGAAAGGGAGAATGACTCTTCGCATCAATGCCTTGCAAGGTGCAGCGATGCGATGAGATCTTGTGCGTAGAACACAGGATGCAGACAGCAGATGACGAACGCACTGATACATGCAGACGTGCACATGCTATACAGTATGAATATGAGTGGCCAAACACTGTATACCATCCAGACTTGACCAGCAGGATCAGATGTTTCCAAACCAGACAAGCCGCTGAATCTGGCGTTCGATCCAACCAACGGTCTGCATTTCTCCGCCCTAGATTAGCCTTGGCCCTGGCCTTGGCCCATGGATTGGCCAGAGCTCTAGGCCAGGGATGCTCGTGCACCAGAAATATACAGATGATCATTGACGAGCAGACGATAGCCGTCGTGCTTGCTCTTGAACTGATGTTAGGGAGCAGGTGCAATCCATCCTTCTAACAAATATTTCCTGAAGCAATCATAAGGGCCCCGCGAGTGCAGTTGCAAGTTTGTCGGTGTGTTTATAGTACGCATTGTTTCAGGTACAACAGTACATATAAAGAGTTCTCGTTTCAACAAACCCCATATCAAGGAGTGTTTTTTATTTCCTTGGCCGTATCCTTCGTTGACGGTTGGCCAACAGATGTTTCGCGTCTGCAGACTGACCGTTTTCATATGCTTCGCTATCGCCACACTTGGCGGGAGAATCCAGCAGAGATGCTCCCATGCAGCGCGTACGTGGTGTCCACAACGGCGTCAGCGACCTTACCACGATGCCGCGCACATGAAAGAATATCTAGCGCATCTGCGTGTTCTTCAACCGGCTTTTCATCAACAGTGCGTGGTGTCTTCCGCGAAGGTCACGACGCAGAGTCTTGGAGACTGGCTCAGATCATTTCGGCCTTCGCCATTTAGACCCGTTGCACCCATGAAGCCTCCTCGTCGCCGTCATGAATCGCGTCGAGAACTGCTTCGCCAGGACCCAATCCTCTTAAATGTCTTTCTTCAGTAACACAATCTCGGTCGTGGATCGACCTTCTCGACACCCTCCTCCAATACGACCACCAAAAGCGCTTGACAGCCAAGAAGGCACATGCAGTATCTGCAGGTGGCCTGCCTTTTAATACACATTTATCCGGACTTGAGAGGTAGACACGTATTATGCACAAGTTAGCATCCAGTAAAAGCCTGTCGCTCCTGCACATCTCGCGCTTGGATGGCAACGGCGACGTCACGTACTAGCCGGTGGCGGCGGCGGGTGGAGTTGGGCCATTTCCTGGCGCAACTTGGTCGTCCAAATCTCATGGCGCGCCGACACGACGTGCGAAACCTTCCGCTGGTTGACCGAAATACCACGCAGCGTGGCCGTGATTGCGTGGCCGGCCTTAGGTGGTGCCACGTCACGAGGGAGGATGCGCATTGGCTGTTGCAGCAGATCTTTCCGGACGTCTTCAATGACCTTTTTGCCTTTCGGCGACAAGACGAGACCCACGTCGAGCGCGTCGACGTGCGGCGGCACCAGCACCGACGATGACGCGTCCTCATGGTACTCGCCCGCGATGACGCGAAGGCGGCCCACAAGCTGGAGATCGGGTTTGACGCTTTCGTACGACGGCGCGTTCGCGACAGGAAAGTCGCGCTGCTCGATGCGTAGCGGCTTGTGTTCGTGCCACGCACTTAAGAACGCGACGGGCGGGAGCGTCTGCCGCTGAAGGGCGAGGAACTCGTCGGCCCACGCGATCTGCTGGACCTGGCGAGAGAGCTCGAGCTCTTCGCAGCGAAGGACGCGGAGCTTGGCGCTGGTCTCGGCCTCGAGCGTGGCCAAGGCTGCGTCGAGTGTACTTCGAAGCAGCATCTCGACAGCATCGCGGTTGCGCTTGACGTCGTTGACGCGCTCGGTAATGTGTCCGAGCCTCGTTCCAATGAGCATCTTGCGCGACTCGACGAGTGGGTCCACTTTGTTGGACTCTTTCAAGCTCTGCTCGTACGCGTCCGGGATACTAATGAGGCGGTGGAGCCCCTTCTCGCCGCACGAGTGGTCGCCGACCATCTTGCAATTGACACAGACGGGGACGGCGCAGACGGGGCAGTAAAACTCGACGTGCTTGGTGTCGTGCTACGAACGCCTTTGTGAACGACGGTACTGCTATAACGTAGAAGTACGAGACGGCAGGGCACGGGCGGCACGAGCGCGTTCTGACCCACGTACGTCGTCGGTCGCGCAGCGTCAATCGACAGTGGTGTGCGCGCGTGTCGACTCATGAGTTTGTTGGCGGCGTGCGTGTCGTGGTCGCAGGCCGCGCAGAGCTCGGCTTCGCAGCAACGGCATGCGACAGCGGCCGGAAGCAGCTCGCAGAGCGCGCAGAGGCGCTGGCGCAGCTTGGGATCCATCCATTGGTACCCAAAGCGCACGAGGTATTGCGGCAAGATCTAATCGTTGACACGACCGTTGTGGAGAATGCATACGTCGTGTGCTAGAAGGCGCACCTGCTGCGTGTTGGTCACAATGTACTCGTGGCAGTAGCCCGTGGTGCGAGGCGCCTTGGGCACAATGTAGTAGCTGTCGTAGCCGGGCGGCAGCGGCTGCGCGGCCATCGCCTCGTCCTCAATGACCATGGAGCGTCCGGTGGCGACCTTGCAGAGCACATATTGCTTTTTGCCTACGCAAGATGCGCTTTGACGAAAAATATCCAAGTAAATTCAAGTACCCTTTTTGCCCGGCTGGTCCATGGTGATGTTGCCGGTCGTGAGCTTCATCGCATGCGACGCTTCGTGGGGCGCGTGGAAGCCGTACGAGTACACTTGCTCAATCGACGGCCCGAGGTCCTCGACCGCGACCCACGAGTCGAGCTCGAGCAAGCCACCGGTCGCTTGCTCATACTGCGCCGAGAGCGCCGGGTTTTGCATGTCCCAGATCATCACGTCGTCGTCGGGCACGCGGTACCCGGGCAGCGACGCCTGCAAGAGGTACCGGACGCGCTGGAACTCCTTTGTGAGTGGGTTCAGGGCCGTGACCGTCGCGACTAAGATCTTACGTTTGAGCAACCTTTTGGCGACTACTACCATGGTAGCTACCCGAGTCGGACGAGGGCGACGCGAGCGTCTGACGCCGCGGGCTCTCGGGGCGGTCCGTCGGCGGTGCACCCTGCGCATCGTCGCCGTCTGGTGGCGGCGGCGGCACCGCATGGGGCGCGAGGAAGAGGCGCAGTCGCGACAGCGAGACGTTCGGGCTTGACGCCATGATCTTCTTCTCGACGAATGCAATGGGTTTCGAAACGGAAACGAGCCGTCAAACACTGTCTGAGACAGTGTCTCTACCGTGTACGCTGCATTGACAACTTTGCGGAAACCAGCGTGGTCTGCGTCTGAGAGCATGATCAAATGCTGGCTCCAAAGACTCGTGTGGCGTCTTGGCGTACGACCACATCTT